TGCTAAAGCATTAAACAATTATTTTAAAATTGAGTTACAAATCAAGAAATAAGGTAACACTTATAGTAAGAATTACTCAAAGAATCCCTTATATCATCCATGAAAATTGTGTATCACATGATTTTTAGCACATAATCCTATATAATACTTTGCACATTAAAGTTTACAAATGAAATTTAAGGAGGAACAAAGAAAATCTCCTGTAGGTATGTAAGCATATAACTATTTTGCTCTAACATAGCCATCAACACCTTGGGAGTGAGAAGAGGAGAAGCAGAATCTAAAATGTTCCTTCTTGCCTGATGGCTTTACTCCATTCAGGTTTAACATCAAGTTTCTAAATCACAATGTGCTAATTTACTATAATGGTAAGAAATAGTTCAGTTGCACTTTAGAATAGTATAGGTTCTAAGGTTACTCTGAAAGTTATATGATCTTAATGATTTTGTATACGTATGACAGCTGATACCTCCAACCCAGCTACACTTCATGTATGTGAATTAAAACTTCCATTGACAAAAAGAAACCACTTCAGCAGTTTTAAATAACTTACCCAAGAATACATGCATAGTAGGGGATAAGGGAGAGTTTGAATCCACATCTGCCCCAACCTGAAGCTTAGACTACACAGTTCTCCTGTACCAACCTGCGTGCAAAAATCTAGAGAAACCTGGGAAAGTGACTTAGAAATCCACCCAAAGAACAGAGGTATGAGAGGCAAAGAAGACAGAGGGCCTATGCCTGTGTTTCTGGGAGTGAGTAAATTGGGGTGGGGTGTTCATGTAGGATAAGTATATGGCAGAGGTGAAAGGAAATTGACTTGGCTCAGGGAAATCTAATTGGCTTGGAGGTGAGAATTGTGGGTGACTTAAAAACTGCTGTGGCCTCCAACTAGTAATTTGTATTTCATCCAACCTTTATTTCATGTCCAAAGAGAGAAAAAAAGGCCTTAAGAACAGGAGTAGGAGGGAGAAGAAAGGAAGAGCTGGTGGGAGGTTAGGCTAAGGTTGGTTTCCTTCCTGGCCTCACCCACCTTCTCCCACTCTTCCTGTCTGTACTCAGCTGCTGCCCAGGCAGTAGCTGCTAAGGAGGTGCTGAATTTCATGGAGACATCATAGGAAACAGGAGGCCTGAGACTGGGCTCAAGTTCTAGGGTGACTCTGGGGCTGAGTTTTCCTGGGAAGCAATTGCCAACCTAAGAGTTGTAGGATCAGTGCCAAGAGCCTCCTATGTTGCAGGTGTCCCTTACAAGTTAGTGATGAATGAATGGATAACAGAATGATTATAATCTTTTATTTATGTTTCAGAATCTGAATGTCTGTCTTTGCAATTCTCTGATTTTCCAAACACCAACTGGGTGTCCAGCCATTCAATTCTATTCTGACAGTAGCTCCCCAGAGTATCTATCACATACCACAGATTTAAAGACTCAGCCCCGGAAGACCACCCTCATTCTAGATGTTAGGCTTGAGTATCAGGTCTCCAGGTCATTGGCACCTCTGTCTGACTTAATTATAGATACAGGGGTTCTCACAATGCCTTCTGAGTTTCAATAATTCACTAAACCCACAAAACTCAGAAAAGTGCTTCCTGTACTGTCCCTAGCTTATTATAAAGGATGCAATTCAGGAACAGCCAAATGCAAGAGACACACTTCTTTGAATAAAGGGAGGGGAATGACAGTTTCCATGCCCTTCCGGGGTGCCACCCTCCAGACACCTTAATGTATGTAACCGGAAGTCCTCTGAGCCCTGTTGTTAAGTGGTTTGTGTGGAGGTTTCATGACATAGGAATGATTGACCTCAATCTCCAACCACTCCCTTCCTAGTAGGTCGGGGGTGTGGCTGGAAGTCCCAAACCTCTAATTGTGCTTTGCTGTCTCTGTAGACCAGCCCCCATCCTGAATCTTTCTAGGGGGCTCCCAGAATCATGCTGTTAGCATCAACTCAGGTATGGTTCACAGGGGTATGCTCTGAAAAAAAGTCATGTCGGGAAATGCCACAGATTTTCATAAACCTTGGCCAGGAACCTGGAACAAAGACCAAATAATTATTTTACATTATACCAAAGTAGCATGTTTTGATAATGAAATAGGATCTCTTTTTGTTGAGATAGGAGTTTCCATTTATTTGTTATGTTAGAATAAATAATTTGGCTCATTCTAGGGGTAATCTGATATCATCCCTAAAAATTAGGGATTATAATTTTAAATAAGAGTTTCCTCACCAAGAAGAGAAGGCTCAAATTCCCTACATAAGTTTGTTACAGCTGCAAGCAAGTGGTTTAAATGACAGAATTACTATCTCACAGCTCTGTAAGCCAGGAGTTCAAAATCACTGTGTACCAAGGTCTGGATACTTCTTTTTTTTAAAAAGATTTATTTATTTATTTGAAGGGCAGAATTACAGAGAGACAGAGGCAAAGAGAATGAGAGAGAGAGTTCTTTTATCTCCTGGTTAACTCCCCAAATGGCCACAATGGCCAGAACTTAGCCATTCCGAAGCCTGGAGCCAGGAGCTTCTTCTGGATCTCCCACATGGGTACAGGGGCCCAAGGAGTTGGGCCATCTTTTACTGCTTTGCCAGGCCATAGCAGAGAGCTGGGTCAGCAGTGGAGCAGCCAGGAATCGAAACAGCGCCCATATGGGATGCCAGCACTGCAGGCGGAGGCTTTAGCCCACTGCGCCACAGTGCCAACCCAGGATTGGGTACTGTTGCTAGCATAGTAACAGCACCAAGGCTGTGTTGGGTCCAATAAGGGTTTTATTATGCAGTGGGAAAGGCACACATTTTAATTCACACAACACACTGGGCAAACCAACCACCCAAGGTTCCCCAAAATACCTCTGGAGCTCATCAGGACATGTCTTACCCACAGAGGATGGATGGATTCTTACGGCATCATCATGGGAGGTGCCTCTGGGCTAAAGAATGCAGGTCTTGAAGGGCAAGTAGAGTCTGGGCTTCAGGCAGGCAAGGCTTTAACGTCAGGTGAGCTCAGAGCCTTGGTATCAGGCAAGGGCAAGGCTGGCTGGGGAAAACTCTTGCAGGAATGTCTGAGTACAGAGGGTCCACCCAGGACTTTCACACTGCCACTCTCAGTAGAGTCTGTTTAGAGAGTCTCTCTGGGCCTCCTCAGCCCGCAGTTTATACACACTTTTGGTGGTCAGTGTAGGGCCAATAAGGTTCTGAGGAGGCTGTGTACACAGGCCATGGATCGTTCTTATCAAGTCCATGCAGATCCTTTGCAGTCAGCTTAGCTCTTGGTTATTTATTGTTAATATTATGGTGAAATTGTTTAATTTCTCCTCCTTACAGGAACTTCTTAGGAACAATGGGATAAGGAGCTGCTCCAAGCCCATTTTCTCATGGCTTCTGCATGACCCTATTTTACACCACTGGCATCATCTTTGTCTTCTCACTGTTTCTATATTTTCCCTTTTTTATGAGAACAGTAGTCAGATTAGATTAGGGCTTACTCTAATGGGTCCACTTTAACTTGATTACCTTGGTGATTACCCAGTCTTCAAGTCAGACTACATTTTGAAGTACTAGGAATTAGGATTTTAACATGTAATTTTTTTTTATTTTATTTTGACAGGCAGAGTGGACAGTGAGAGAGAGAGACAGAGAGAAAGGTCTTCCTTTGCCGTTGGTTCATGCTCCAATGGCCTCCGTGGCCGGCGCGCTGCGGCCAGCGCACCACGCTGATCCGATGGCAGGAGCCAGGTACTTATCCTGGTCTCCCATGGGGTGCAGGGCCCAAGTACTTGGGCCATCCTCCATTGCACTCCCTGGCCACAGCAGAGAGCTGGCCTGGAATGTAACTCATGACCTTCTCCCTTGCTAGTGGATTGACTCATTGTGAGATGGCTTGTTCTTCTGAGCCAGTCTCTAAAGGTTACTATGTGGGAATTTTGTGTGGAACCTACACAGGGAGCCTAAAGAAAGTGCTGAAGAGACTAGGCATGAAGGGAGGAGAGGAGAAATGGCCAGAGTGGGGTAGGTCTTGAGAGTGGGGCTACCTTCAAGTTTGGCCGCACAGATAAAGTGAAAGAGGGGTCACCACAAGGTTTATTTTTAAAATTCAAGCACTCTGAGTATGCTCCAGTTATATGTTAATCTTTGGGGTGAGTAGAACTTTCCTATGACCAAATAGGCACTCACCCCTCAGCCACTGTGAAGTGGGGAAGATGCCCAACCTAAGAGGTGAGCTCTGACTCGCTGCTATCCAGGCCCCCTAGTTAAGCATGCCTGCATCTCCCATTGATTGTCATTCATTGATAAATGCTTATCAGCCCTGTGATCCAAAGTCCCTTTGAGGGAAATGTCTAATATATGACATGATGATTTAGAACATGACTCAGTCATGTTAGATACTTTTGAACATTTCAATTATCAATTGAATTTAATTTGGGGCAAATTAAAGTTGGCTTTACATCTTATAGGAGTTTATTTTTATGACTCCTTTCAAAAGAATGTGACTATATATATATATATATATTTGAAAAATGTAGAAAGTAAAGGTACTAAATATGTGAGAAGAAATGGATAAGCTACATCCATAGTGCTAATAGAATTGGTTATTCTAAAAAAGGAAGAGAATGCCAAGAAAAGCCCAAGATAGAACTGTAACTAATAAACCTCTCTGCTCTGACTATCCAGAATTGCAAAATGACAGAATTCAGTTCAGGCTTTTATTTTTTTTAGCACCTACTGTGTACCTTACCCTAGACTATCAGTTTCTACCTGTAAACATCTATGATGAGAGGGAAATATATATATGGACACAGAGTGTAGACACTCTAGGAAGAAAGGTCCAGAAATTATCTCTTTCACTGGGAAATTCCTACAAAGACGTACTGCATTGCCTTGCTATGCTACTCTATGCACCTATTATTTAACCTGCACAATTTCAGACTTCATCCTCAAATCAAAGACATTGATTTGACTCTGGTGTTTTTCTTTTCTTTTCTTTTCTTTTTTTTTTTAATTTGACAGAGTTACAGTGAGAGAGAGAGACAGAGAGAAAGATCTTCCTTCTGTAAGTTCACCCCAAAACGGCCGCTATGGTTGGAGCTATGCTGATCTGAAGCTAGGAGCCAAGTGCTTCCTCCTGGTCTCCAATGCGGGTGCAGGGCCCAAGCACTTGGGCCATCCTCCACTGCCTTCCCAGGCCACAGCAGAGAGCTGGACTGGAAGAGGAGCAACCAGGACTAGAACCCGGAGACCATATGAGATGCTGGCGCTGCAGGCGGAAGATTAACCAAGTGAGCCATGGCACTGGCCCGACCCTGGTGTTTTTCATCAACTCCACCCACATGCCCAGGATATACTGGAACAGAATAATCCTCATCAGTGTATTGCTCAAATTCTGACCTTTAAAACATCTGGAACAAAGACTTCCTGTATTCTATTTCTTCATTCTTCTCAGGAATAGCAATCTATTTCTATGTAATGCTGTTGTCACATTCCATGCCCATCAAACAATTTCTGAGGATGAGACTGATTTAAGCCCCCCAAATGACTCTACAAGGCAGCCAGAGTTAAGAACCACTGATCTAGAAAAGCAACATGAAACATAGCAGAAAGGGGCTGACTTGGATTCTCCAAGTCCAAGATGCATATTTACTTCTCAGAAATAAATATAGCTTAAATACATTTCTTTTTTTTTTTTTTTTTGACAGGCAGAGTGGACAGTGAGAGAGAGAGACAGAGAGAAAGGTCTTCCTTTGCCGTTGGTTCACCCTCCAATGGCCGCCATGGCCTGTGCGCTGCGGCCTGCGCACCACGCTGATCCAATGGCAGGAGCCAGGTGCTTCTCCTGGTCTCCCATGGGTGCAGGGCCCAAGCACTTGGGCCATCCTCCACTGCACTCCCTGGCCACAGCAGAGAGCGGGCCTGGAAGAGGGGCAATTGGGACAGAATCCGGCGTCCCGACCGGGACTAGAACCTGGTGTGCCGGCGCCGCAAGGCGGAGGATTAACCCAGTGAGCTGCGGCGCCGGCCCCGTGCTGCTCCCTTTAAAAATATTTTTAAAGTAGAACTCACAAAACATGAAATAAACAAAGTATTTTGATGTTTACCATTCAATGGCTTTGGTATACACAGTGTTGTGACACCATTGCCTTTATACAGTTAGATCTTCATCACTCCCAAAGGAAAGCTGTTATCCACTAAGCAGTCTGATTCCCTTCAGACCACATGCTGATCACGTTAGCTGTTCCTGTGGAACAAATACCTCTGAAGCACAGCATCTTTAACCAACAACCATCTCATCTCATGATTTCTGGGAGGTCTGCAATCCCCACGTGGCTTAGACCTCAGCCCACGGCTCTCACATGACTGCCATCAACGTGTCACGGGGCTACTGCCTTGTCAGTACTTGATGAGGAATGCTTATGTACATAGACCTGGGCCTGATTCATTCATTTACAAGCTGCTGCACTGAGAGCCTTGGTTTCTCACTGCTTGGCTTTTTCCACAAGGAAGCCCATATCAGGGCAGCAGCTCCATCAGAACAAATGAATGAAAGAACATTGGTGGGGGTAGGGGTAAGGGGTGGAGGGCCCCAGCACAATGCAAATGAGAGCTTTTTGTAACTCATCTTGGAAGTGACACCTATCATTTTTGCCATATTCTGTTTGTAAGAAGCAATCACTGAGTCCAATACACACTCAAGAGGGGGTGACTGCACACGGACGGGTGTGAGGTGATACGAGCCTGTCAGGAAGCAGAGTCATGTGGGGACATCTCAGACACGGCCTCCTATGCATCCACAGGGCATTCTGCAAACATTTTTTCTTATTTGGAAGTGATGGCAATTTGAGGAGCTTGTATCCAATTTTGAGTAAACATTGGTAATTAGAGGGTGGCTTTATTTTTCTTGTTACACATTTCAAAGGATTTACATTAATTTAAGGGATAGAAAACTTATACAGGCAAAACTCCTAACAATTAAGACAGAATAAAATAAGGATTTGAATATATGTGCAAAGCATGTGGAAATACATATAACACTGAATCATAATAATAATCCTATGTATAAACATAGGCACCCTAAATCCATATCCTATTTATTAAATACTGTGCAAAATTATATTGACCAGTAAGATGGGGGAAATGCCAATATTGACTGTAGCTATTAAGGAGGAAGTAAACTTTAAAAAAAACCTTAATTTTTTTTTAGGGCTTGGCATCAACTTTTTTGTAACTTTTATCTAGTAAATATAAATTTCCAAAGTACAGTTTATGGATTACAATGGCCTCCCCCCCCCCATAATTTCCCTCCCACTCACACCCCTCCCATCTCCCACTCCCTCTCCCATTCCATTCACATCAAGATTCATTTTCAATTATCTTTATATACAGAAGATCAATTCAGTATATATTAAGTAAAGATTTCATCAGTTTGCACCCACACAGAAACACATAGTGTAAAATACTGTTTCAGTACTAGTTATAGCATTACTTCACATTGGACAACACATTAAGGACAGATCCCACATGAGGAGTAAGTACACAGTGACTCCTGTTGTTGACTTAACAATTTGACACTCTTGTTTATGGTGTCAGAAATCTCCCTAGGCTCTAGTCATGAGTTGCCAAAGCTATGGAAGCCTTTTGAGTTCGCTGACTTTGATCTTATTCAGACAGGGTCTTAGTCAAAGTGGAAGTTCTCTCCTCCCTTCAGAGAAAGGTACCTCCTTCTTTGATGGCCCGTTCTTTCCACTGGGATCTCACTAGTCCAGGTGATCAATTTCAGTTCAGAATTGATCACACTGATAGTTCTAAGAGTCAAAGGGATCACACAAACAAGACTAGTGTCTGCTAATACTAACTGATAGAATCAAAAATGGAGAGAACAATCCAACATGGGAAGTGGGATACACAGCAGACTCATAGAATGGCAGATGTCCTAAATAGCACTCTGGCCTCAGAATCAGCCCTTAAGGCATTCGGATATGGCTGAAGAGCCCATGAGAGTATTTTAGGCATGGAAAGTCAAGACACTCTGAAAAAAAAGAAAAAAAAAAAGAAGACCTAAATGAAAGATCTCTGCGAGTGAAAAAAACCTTAATTTAAAGAGAATGAACACCATAATGATATTTAAAACCATGTTATTTGACCAATAGGAATCAGATGTTTAACATGAAGGCAAAAATATTCTGGGTAAGTTGGAAACAATTTCTTCTTAAGGCTTTTTTATTTTTTTATTTGAAAGGGAGAGTTAGAGAGAGAGAGAGAGAGAGAGATCTTTCATCCTCTGGTTCTCTTCCCAAATGGCCACAATGACCAATGCTGTGCCAGGCCAAAGTTAAGAACCTCAATCGAGTCTCCCACGTGGGTGACAGGAGCCCAAGTCCTTGGGCCATCTTCCCCTAGTTTCCCAGGTACATTAGCAGGGAGATGGATCAGAAGTAGAGCAGCCAGTATTTGAGTTGGCACCCATATTGGATGACAGTGTCACAGGCAACAGCTTACCCTGCTATGTCACAACACTGGCCTGTTGACAACAGATTTGACTCTGATATTTTTGTGTGCCTCTGGGGAAAGATATAAATGGGTGAAGCTCTACATTTTATATCCTGGATCTCACCCTGGCCTTATTTCTCCTCAATCCTAGCTGTGTAACTTTGAACAAGTTACTTAACATCTCAAAGTAAGAATAGAGGTAGTTCAAGAATAGATTATATCATTTGTTTATATTTATCTAGGGCTAAGGGATGAAAACATTTGAGGGAGGGAGGTTTTGACTTCGTATTAGGAAGAATAATCACAATTTAGAGCAGCAGCTGGTGCACTATGGCAGATGTGATTTTGCCCGTGGCCTTGTATGGGCTGTGAATGAAGCATCATTTTTATACTTTTAAGGAGTTGTTGAAGAATCAGCAACAGCAGTAGCAACAGAAGTAGCAATGAGACATTACTCATACGGGGCAAACAAAATCAAAGTATTTGCTCTCTGGCCCTTTACCAAAGAAGTCTGCCAACCCCGGAGAGCCTTCTCCAAATGGGATGACATCCTTGGGGACTGCAGGAGTCTCTTGTCACTGAAGGAACTTAAGAAGGCACTCAGCTGATGATTGCATAGATGCAATTCAAACCCCAGAGGAAAACTGAAAACATAAACTCTGATGTCTTCTTCAGCCATAGCTTTTATGAATTTGTGATTGTCCATTTCATACACTGACCTCTCTGCATTAGAAAATCCTTCCTTATGATGAACAAACTGTTTCTTTGTAAACTTTATTCATTCCTGTTCTCTTTTCTGCTGTTTATTCTTTGTTGTTCAGTGTCTTAGAGCTATTTTCAGATGGATGTTTGGAGAATATTCAGGTCTCAGTAATTTCTGATGTCTCAGTTCTATATTATTTCATATTTTTCAAAGAATTTTAATTTATTTGAAAGGTAAGGGAGGAAGAGAGAGAGAGAGAGAGAGAGAGAGAGAGAGAGAGAGAGAGAAACCACAGCAGCTGGGGGTCCTGGTCCAGGCCAAACCTAGGATCCAGGAATTGCATCTGGATCTCCCATGTGAGTGGCAAGGACTGCTGTACTTGGGCCATCCTCTGCTGTTTTTCCTAGGTGCAATAACAGGAAGTTGCATCAGAAACAGAGGAGCTGGAATTTGAACCGGTACTCTGATATGGGCTGTCAACATCACAAGTAGTGGATTAACTTGCAACAATGCTGACCCTTAGATTGTTCCATATTTTATGGCAAAAAGTTGGAGAGCCACAGTGTTGATAGAGTGAAGAGAAAAATAATAATAGCAAGAAAAAAAAAACTTGAGGAGATGCTGATCTGGAATATTTAGATTTGCAGCCTAATAAATGGCACTAAGGCATATTATTGTAATACCAAAATTTATTAAGATCTATGTGCATGACATAGAATATGTATCATCTCATTGAATACTTACTAAAACACTATGAAGCACCAGTTATTATCACAACAGTAATTGAACACAATAACAGAAATATCTGTTATCCAGTGAGATATGTTTTGTTAGTATCTTCACTTCGCAAATAGGAAAATAAGACTTAGAAGCAGTGACAAACGTGTATAAAGTCAGGTATGTGAGTAGCAACTTCATATTCAAGCCTTGGTCTGCTCACTCCAAATTTGCTCTGCTTATCCACTCTGGTGCTCAACATAGCATATCTTGTGTTTGTGGCAATTGTGAGTAATGTGAACATCATTGGTTCAAAACCTCTTGCTCCATTTTCCTAATAATTACATAAAATCCATCTGTCTCATTTTACATGTTTCTCCCTCTTTAAACTATTGGAGGAAGCAAGATCACTTACACATTATCTTCTCTGAATGCCTGAAAAACAATGATTATTTTTCAATGTTTATTTTTGTTAGCTAGCACTATGTGCATAGGGAAATGGATTGGCATGAAATCCAAGATTCTTTTTTTGCTTTCTTTGGCTAAAGAGCAATGGTTTTCTGGTCTCTGGGCAAGTGTAATGATATTTCTTACAGAAAATATTATTCTGGAGCTACCTAAATCTCTTATATGTGTTAAGATTCCACAGTCTCTCCCATCTGTTTTTCTGCTCTTCTGAGAATTTGGCTTCTCTGTTTTTCTTTGCTATTCAGAAGAAAGTTTGTGTCTTTTTGATGTTAATTCCCTGATCTTAAAAGTCATAAAGATATAAACTAATTGGATATCAAGTGTGTTTGGCACACTTAATAATTCTTTTTAAAATTATGACCATTCCATGGTTATCACGAATACAGTGAAATACAAGGTACGCATATAGCAATAGGCTTTCCATTTCTGTTTTCTATAATCAGGAATAGAATTTAATAAGAGTAGAGAAATCCTTGCATTGAAATTAGGGTCACAGAGTGATGTACAGATGGAGGAGATATTTTATTTTTGCACAGGTTGTTGGCGGGGGCACAGAGCAATCATCTGCTAACTCAGGAGTGTTTCTCCAGTAGTGAATGCCACCGGAGATGTTCTTTATGCATGTGGGATAAACTAGGATCTGAGGAGTCAAGGGGAGCTGCAGGTGAACTCAAATCAACTAGTTAAACTCACTTTCCCAAAAGCTCTACACTGAGCTTTCTTTCCAAAGGTAGCCCTTGGCCAAGGCAGTCCTTTAGTTCCAGGATTAGGCCTGGATGGCAAAACAACCTCTGCACTTGTTTAGCCTGAAGGTAGGGAAGGCTTTGTCAGACATAGCAAGAAAGACTACAGGGAATGAAGGAAGTAAAAGTAGAAACAAGGGGCCAGTGCTGTGGCGCAGCAGGTTAAAGCACCAGCCTGCAGTGCCGGCATCCTATGTGTGCACCGGTTCAATCCCCGGCTGCTCCTTTTCCGATCCAGCTCTCTGCTATGTCCTGGAAAAGCAGAAGATGGCCCAAGTCCTTGGGCCCCTGCACCCATGTGGGAGACCCGGAAGAAGCTCCTGGCTCCTGGCTTCAGATCAGCTCAGCTCTAGCCATTGAGGTCATTTGGGGAATGAACCAGTGGGTGAAAGACCTTTCTCTCTCTCTGGCTCTACTTCTCTCTGTAACTCTTTCAAATAAATAAATAAATAAATCTTAAAAAAAAAACCACATATAAATAAATGCCTCACGATTGTCCTGATGTGGGTGTTTATATTGCCTGTAAGGCACAGTGACATCTCTTCATGATTCAATGCAATGTTTTCTCTGTGTCTCTGCCTTGAAAAAGATTGTATCTGTTTGTGCAACTAGAAAAATAATGTGAATATAATGAATCAATATATCCTTCAACTGTTAAAATGTGTAACTTAATTGTGACTAAAGATGAGATCTAATTTGAGTGAAAGACTGGCCCCAGTGATCATGAATAAGATGAAACTTCATCACTGAGAATTCTTCCAATGTCACCATCCTTATTTCTAATCCTCCATGTTCTGTGTGCTTGCCAGAGTTATAATTAGTTTAGCAGACTGCTGAGCTGCCAATTTGCATGAAATGTCTTGAGGTACGCGTTTCATTATATTTCCTCTGTCCCACCTAGCTTCTTTTCTCTTCCCAGCACCACTTTGCTTTAACCTTACATAATCCACTAACATGAAAACCTGGTATTACCTTTGTTGATTCCCTCTCAGTCTGCCTGGTTTGGGATAATCACATTCTCTCCTGTTTCCCAAATGCTCCATGCAAATATCTATTATTGCTTTTATCATATGTTATTATAATTTCCTATCTGTGTTTTCCTTTTCCAGTTGTTCTGTGGCTTGTTTTTTGTACAGAGAAAAAGTGATTTTGAAATGCCACAGACTGAAGTGAGTGCCTTTTCTGAGCAAGACTAGTTCTAACAGACTCATGTTAAATTATGTAAGAAGCAGACACAAAAGGGCACATATTGTATGATTGCATTGATATGAAATATCCAGAATAGGCAAATCCATAGAGACAGAAACATATTATTGGTTGCCAAGGGCTGGGGGAAGAGAAATAGGAAGCAGTTGCTTACTAAGTATATAATTTCCACTTGGAATGATTAGAAAATCTGGAGTGGTAGGGGCTAAGCAACATTGCAAGTATTCTTAAGATTACTTGATTGCATCTTTGGAAATAGTAGTTAATTTTTGTGTTATGTGTATTTACAACTATAAGGCACATAAAAAAAGTAAATGAAAATACAAACAACAATTGTAAAATTGTGGTAAGGCCAATTCCCTTATGTCTCTCTGTGTTTCTCAGATGTCTGACTACAAAGTCTTGGTTTCTACTACTTCCCTTTTACTACGTTCTGCAGTGTGTTCATAGCTTACAGTCTCCACTTTAATTTTCTTCCCTATAAAATTCTCTATCGTATAAAAAGGAGAAGAAGATTTTTGTGCTAGGAAAATGAACTTCTCAGGTACAGTCAAGAATTGCCCCTTCCCTTTCTATTCGTAACTCTTTTAATTTACAAAGCAGTACCAATTGTTTGCAAAAATGAAAAAGAGACAAGAATACAAAGTCAAATGTATGTCATTTAAAAACTCTCCTCTAACTGAGACAAAAATAACACAACCAAGCTGAGGTTTTGTTATCCTTCTCCTATGCACACAAACTGTATTCCTTAGCCTCTTTTGCAGCTAGGGGAGGTACTGTGGAACTGTGTTCCAGCCAGAGTTGTCAGTGGATGTATGTAGTGATACAACACATTCTAAGGGCACCTATAAAAACCATCATGTGCTCTCATTCCCTTCTGCAATGATTTCAGAAGCAGTGTATTTGAGACAAAAGGGTCAAAGGTTAGCAAAAAAACTAGATTCTTTTGCCAATGCTTGGAAGCAAGCTGCTAAAAAGAGCCAGGAACTTGCATAAGACTGTTGATATGAATGAAATAAAACTTAGGCTGTCATTGCATTAAGGTTTTGAGATTCAGATTCTAATTGTTATCACAGGGAAACCTTTCCTATTTGGATTCATTTACTTCTCAATTATAACTCACAGGAGATAGCTAACTATGTCAATTTTATTTTTCAATCAAAGCATGGACTATTCTAGTGTTATATCTACTCTCCCTGTTCCTTTCAAGTAGATCCAAGATGGTTGGAATCACACATTTACTGTTTTTAGGCCATGTACTTCCAAAAATCAAGTATGGGAATTTACTTAGGAATGTATCTGTAATAGGATTCTGGCCAAAGAGATGTGAGAGGAAGTCTACCAGAAGGTTTCTTGGAAAGATATTTCCATATGTTAAAAAAAAATACTGTTCTCCTTTTGCTAAAAATTGTGATGGAGCCTAGAGTTGTGGTATCATAAGTTGACAAGTACAGTTACTAGGAACAAAATCTATATGCCAAGCAGAAGATAAAGATGGTATTAACAGTCATTATTTATGAAACTTTGGGTGAATAGGTTAATTAATACTTGAAATATGTTTTCCATGAAGTTTTTGATACATGTGATATATAATTTTTTTTGTATTTAGCCACTGTGAAATATTTTTCCTGTTATTTGCAGCTAAAAGCAACCTAAGACATATTTGACATTTTAGCTGATTCCAGTGATTTAAATATTTCAAACAATATTTCACCAAATGTCATGGTACGTTGATTAGTAATTATATTCATAATTCTGTTTACAGTCTTATTTCAGGTACACAGAGGATAAGCATTTAAATTTTCTGGAGCTTATACCATATTTTCCTCCAAAAATAGTGGCCTTCCTTTGGCTTTTAAATCTGCCAATCTGGAAATTATAAATGTATTTGATTTGGGAAATCTGACAGTCAAAATAATATCTCCTTATTTTACTTTGTATTTTTTTGTTTTAATAGAGTTGAAAATCATTTCATATGCTTGATGAATGTTTGAACAGTTTTTGCATTTGTGTGTTCAAACATGACTATTTTTCTTCATCTTGTGTTTTCTTATTGTTTAATAAAATTCTTAAGTGATGGTGGGGGAAAATAAAGCTCTTAATACAATAAGACTATTAATCCTTCCATTGCAAATGTTTTCTTCCACTCTGCTGTTTATCTTTCACTCGTCTTGTTATAGCCATTCCCACATAATACTCTGCATTTTTTATCTTATAACTTTTATTACTCCTCAATTGAATGTCTTACTAATTTTATATATTAAAACTCCAGGTATTTTTCTTTCAAATATACATTTTCAAGGACCAAAAAATCTTTAATTTATAAATAACCCAAATTTTAAAAAATTGAAATCATATTTAAAGGGTTAGGATATATAGGCAAACATGTCTTAAATTGTTTCATGTAGTTCATTGGTTTTCCTAATAGGGTACCTGAAGGAAAGAGAATATATTTTTTGTTGAGTGTTTATTATGTGCTAGGCATTATACTAGAGGCTTTATATATCATTTATTTTTCTATTTTAATCCTTGTGACGGTACTATAAGTTGTTTCTATTACTGTTATTTCAATAGGAAAAAGGTCAACAGCTTGCCTGTGACATGGCCAATGAAAAGTAGATTGTTGCTGATTGTACCTCGCTTTCACTTCTTAACATTGCCCTTTGCCAAGGAACTATAATGTGTCCAGAAGACAAAGATACTGGATAAATATATAACGCAAATAGAATTTGTATTTTGACCTTTTTTATTTCTCTTTTTGAGATCCTTTTTTTAAATCTTAAAGCCGGGAATAAAAACAAAACAAGATAAAACCAGATCTACATGATTCAAGCACTCTTTTTTTTTTTTTTCATTGTACTATGATGTCTTAGCTTGAGCTTAAAAAAAAAAAGGAGACTTTTTATTTATTTTTTAGCTGTCTACATCGAGCACTTTTCTTTTACAAAACTGAATCACCTACATTATCAGGAAAACTTCCCATGTTCTTTGTGGGCTAGATCCATGTGTCTTTGAAGACATGGATCAAGTATGTGATGGCTTTGTCCCATCTATCACCAAGGCTTGTTTGTTAGGGACTTACCTTGCTGAGTCCCTCCCTGTGTGAACAGTCACTTCCTCCTGTCTCAGCTGGCTGCCTTTGATGTCTAGTACTGTCTGGTATTATTTTTAAGATGAGAGTGTGGGAAGAAAAGAGGAAATGTGTCTGCATATTGCACCAACGTCTGATCCAAGAGGACTTTTCTACTTCTGAATTTTAAGAAGTACTCTATGGGGTTTACGTTCCTTTGCCTTATAATCCGTCTTTGAGCCTTCTCTAATAGCCTTTTCTTGAACAAACATTCATAATAGGCGAAATGAAAGTCACTTTCATTCAAAGGCTTTAAAGCCTTGGAAATAAGATCTGGAAAAACCCTAACCAAAGAATCTTGAGAGTTACCACATTTTTTCTTTTAATTTAACAAAGCAGGTAGGGAGTTGGAAATCCAGATTTTTAATATTTTTCCACTTACTCACAGAGTAGATGAGTAAGTCAATTAAGTGCCTGGGACAATGGTTTTTCTATACGCTAAGAGAGATCAAATCAGGATAACCCCAAACCCCCTTCTGGGTGGGCCTCTCTGTAACGCCAGAGCAGACCTAGAGAACACTGGAAAATTGCCAGAGTTGGTCTTACTTGTTCTCGCCTTCCCTTCACATTCCCGTTGTCTTCTGTAATTCACTGATACATACTCTGATAGCTTTAGTTTTCCTATGAACATTTTTAAAAATTTATTTATTTATTTGAAAGTCAGTTACAGAGAGAGAGGGAGAGAGAGAGACAAAGAGAGAGAGAAAGAAAACGAAAGAGAGAAAGAGAGAGAGAGATTGCATCCACTGGTTCACTCGTCAGCAGGCTGCAACCACCAGGGCTGGACAAGGCCAAAGCTAGAAACCAGAAGGTTCTTCCAGGTCTCCCACATGGGTAGCAGAGCCTCACACACTTGGACCATCCTCTGCTGCTTTTTCCAGGCCATTAGCAGGGAGCTGCATCAGAAATGGAGCAGCCAGGACTAGAACTTGCACTCAATGTGATGCGGGTATTGCAGATGGAAGCTTTATCTGCTACACCACAACACTGGCACATGTGAACATTTTAAGGTCTCTGATTCTGAATTCTTCTAGTTCTCTCAAATATTATGTCTTGTCCCCAAGCCATTTATACTGACAGTATCCTAAGGCCTTTCTCCTGGGCATTAAAATGATTTATTAATCTGTGACTAATGAGATAATGGGCTATTTCTTAGTAACTTGCTTGCATTTAACAAGGACTTTTAATGAAGCTAAAAAATTTAACCCAAATGAGTGACACAAAAAGTGGAAATTGCAAGCACTTTGGGCCAGTGGAAGGTTGAGGGTGAGTGTGTGTCAATGGCCCCACAAAAGTCATTAGAAAACAATCATTTGGCTTGCCTTGTTGAATAGAACATAAATGAACTTATGATGATATCTCTAGTTAATCTCTTTGAGGAGGCTGAATGTTCTTGGCATCCTTTTTCTAAGTGTAAAGGCTGATGTGATTATTTTTTTTAAATGTTACATAGTCTGAAGTAGGAAATCAGGAAGCAAAGGATTCTTATTAATTCCGGGAAGCCTGCAGTCCAATCAGATAACTGATTCATAGGCCATCCTTGGGAGTTGGGCCTAAGGGACCTGGCCAAATCATCATGACCCTTCTCTTGATTTCAAGGACCTTAAACTCTGGTTGTTGCTTCCGGTGACACATTCTGTTTCTGAACAAAATTCTGAATCCTGTTTGGTCAGGGCCAGGGCATTTTATTTTTTATGTTTCATGGTACCTGGCACAGGTTGAGGATGTGAAATTACTTAATGAACATTGTTAACCTATCATCTTTCTGGAAAGGACGTCAACACTGTTATGCATTTGTTAAGTTCCTAGTATGAAACAGCTTTTGGGAATATTAATGCACAGTATCTTTATTTTGTGGCAAGAGGAAAATAAAGGCAACTACGTGACTGATCTTATGTCACAGCTATCTTAGGTCACAACAGCTTTATTAGAACTAAAACTTGGCAAGCAGCTGCAGCAGAGAGCACAGAGTCTTCTGTGATTACTTTCTTGGCCCTTGGATGGCCCTTAGTACATTGTAAGCAAAAGGAGGGAAAGGAAGAATGACTGAGAATGCACTGGTTTTGAAAAGATTTGGAACTAGATAGATTCTAGTTATCCCAGATGGGCAGTTGAGGAGAAGACAGTGTGGGACTTTTCGTGGTACCTAAAGATGCCATCCAGGGTTTGCTCTGCTGACCTCTGTATGTGCCATTTTCAGATTTGAATTTGAAGACTCAGGGTCATGTCCCAGATCTACCACTTACCAACAGCTCTCTCAAGGCCTGCAGTAAAGATCCCAAAGCTTTTCCATTTGTCTAAAAGACTACATTGTAGAGTTCCTGGCTCCTTCTGCCCCAGCCCCATGGTCTACCTTGCCATTTCGTCAATAACCCAAGCCTCCTCTTGTCTCAGGATGGGAGCATTTGTTGCTCCCTCTTCCTGGAATGCTCTTTCTTCAGGGCTTCCAGCGGGTCCCCCACTCCCTTCTCTGTTAATGCCACCTCATCACTTAAGCCTTTCTTGAAAACTCAATGGAAGGCCGTCACCGCGGCTCACTAGGCTAATCCTCCGCCTTGCGGCGCTGGCACACCAGGTTCTAGTCCCGGTCGGGGCGCTGGATTCTGTCCTGGTTGCCCCTCTTCCAGGCCAGCTCCCTGTTGTGGCCCGGGAGTGCAGTGGAGGATGGCCCAAGTGCTTGGGCCCTGCACCCCATGGGAGACCAGGAGAAGCACCTGGCTCCTGCCATAGCGCGGTGCGCCGGCCATGGCGGCTGTTGGAGGGTGAACCAACGGCAAAAGGAAGACCTTTCTCTCTGTCTCTCTCTCTCACTGTCCACTCTGCCTGTCAAAAAATAAAAAAATAAAAATAAAAGAAAGGAAAGAAAACTCAGTGAAAAATAGCTCTTCGGCAGACTCCAGTTTCTAATTCTGATATGATTTAATAGAAGGTAAAAATCCCAATGGAACTTAAAATCTCTGAAGACACTGAATTGGTAGGTAATATACTCTCCAACAAAATAATAATCAGTGAGGTTATGAGTATGCTGATTACCTTCCTTGACTCTTGCTGCAAAGTCTACATACTTGCAGGTGAAAATATCACTTTTGCTCCACAAATGTACACAAGAATTATTTGTCAACTAAAAATAAATCAGTAAAATCTATACAAAGCAAAAGGAACCTGTAATGAAAAGATTCTATCTGCTTCACTGTTTTAGCCTCAATATCTGAAACATTCTTGTACAAATCATTTAATGGATTTACTTAATGAGGAAATGAAATATTTCAGCTTCCATTTTTGTGTTTTGTTACATGTTGAGCAGGAATAATAGTCCTCTTTCCTTTTTATTGAAGAGGTGCTATATGTGAAGATCGTAGTAAACTTTTGGGCACTAAATGAATATAGAGTAGTTTGGTTGTCTTTATAACTCTGAGTGACCTGAAATAAACTTACTAACATCTTTATATTTAAATATTGTTCTCATCTTCTAAATCGGATTTAGAAATCATTGCAACAACTCTCATGAATGTTTTCCCTCACTTTGTGGGCTCATAGACATGATGTATATGGTGACCAACTAAGTGAAATGTGCTGATGGACTTCCACATGAAAATCCCCAGTGGACTTTTAAATATTAGTAACTGGGAGGCAGTAACAAATTAGCAAGAGTTAGTGATTGGGTTTCATCAGAAGGAAGATAGTAGGCTTAATGTGAATACTGGCCATCACTCAGTGCAAGTTCAATATTAAAATAGCAACTTCAAATGACACTGCTGTACACCAAGTTTAGCATACGCTACACATCAT